CCCCCGCCCGATCCACTTTCCCCGGGTAAGCCTCACACATATATGGCGCTAACTCTCAGCTGAAACCTCGTTCAAATTGCGAGAGAAAAATACACTAGGCTCCCCTCCCAGCTAGGTTAGCGCCGCCCATGTCAGACCGACATGCATCGTACAATACGGCGAGTCGTCGTGGGCGGGGTAGAGAGAAACGAACAGCGAGTAGGGAGGCAGAGCAGCAGCAGCCTTCGGAAATCAATCGCAACTGCAGCCTGTGTTTGGTGAGCACCCAGGCGCTAAAAAAACGCACGGCAACTTGGACTACATGCGCTCATTGTTCTGTCTATTAACTCACGCCCATCACGGTATCAACCAACGGTATTATAGTAGCAAGCACAATTCTCATAAACAAACCGAAAAAAAAAGGTGTGCCCACCATCAACCACAAACAAAAATGGACTCAATCAACTCTACACCTGCATGCGACACACGAGCACCTGTTACCCCACAGGCCTCGACGACACCTCGATCGGCGTCACATTGGAGACCTTGAGCACGTCTCGCCCAACGCTTCGCCCTTCCATACTCACTGTTCGCCCTCCGTACGTCATCGCACCAATAAAAAAGCACACACACATACACATAAACACACACGCAGATTGTGGCCTTTAGGAGCATGTTGTGTTTTCAACCGCACTGAGACTAGACTAACGTCTTTTCATTGGTCAGCCAGTTAGCGCGGTTGATGCAAAATGAAAAAAAAACAAAAAAAAACACACACACACATTCGACTGCAACAATCAGCCGGAAAATCCTCCCTCCCCTCCTGTCTGCGCTGTTACCCCAACCAAGCACAACTACACCCCGATGGCACGCAAAGAAAACAGCCGACCAAAAAAAGACACACCGGCGGGGGGCTACGCGGATGCGCCGAAAGAGTGGGGGGTGTACTCATAGCCGTGCATGCCGAAGTCGTTAGAGCAGCGGAGCGTGGAACTAGTGCTCGCGTTAACATGTAGTGATCAAGACAACATCACCCGGTGGCTCATCCTAGTGTACCCTGGGGCAACTTTGTCGATGACCCCCCCCCCCGGCCGTGTCTCACGGCGCCCCTTTCTATTTTCTTCCTCACGTCTACTCCTGCCTGCTCACCATGGAAACGTGCGGGTGACACACACACCGCCCTTGATTCTCTGCGCCACCTTATTTTTTTTTTATGCCCATTCCCATTCCGGCCTCTGCCTCTCCTCGCGGAAAAAATAACAAAAAAAAAACTCGCGATTGAATCGCTGTGAGCACTCTGGTTTGTAAAGCGTACCACCATGCACAACACAAACAGTGAGAGTAATATCGTGCAGATCTTGAAACCGTCAGCAACAGCGAAACTATTATTGTACTGCTGTGCGCACTCCGTCGGGAAGGTAATTGACCATTAATTCCACCGAATTTTTGTAACCGTCAGCAACAGGGAAACTACTGTAACTTTACGTACACCGCCGAAGGTAATCGACAATAAATTCCACGGCATTCTCCCAAGGCAACTGATGGGACAAAATCGTTTCGGACCACACCTCGGTTCCGCCCCGCCGATCATCAGGGGGCGCGACAAACAGGACACTACTACTTGATGAACGTATTTACCAAAAAAAGGGAACAGACCAAAACAGACATAAAAAGAGCCAAGACAAAAAAAAAAACAATCACCGCCCGGCGGTGCTACGATAGAGGGTATATGCCATACACCCCTACTCCCCCCTTATTACAAGCTTACAGCGTCGAGTGGCGTCGTGCTGCCAGACAGACTCCCAACATTGCTGCTGCATCATCAGTCTTCCGCCTATCCGCCGCAACCCCCCCCCCCCCCCCCCCCCCCCCAAAAAAAGAAAAAAAAAACACCACATCCCGGGGGGGGAAAAAAGGGGGGGGGAGGAAAAACACCGGGGGGAGCCCCCCCCCCGCGGGGGGGAAAAACCGGGGCCGCCCCGGGGGGCGCCCGGGGGAAAAAAAAA